TAAGCTATCATAGTGCGAAAATTCAGTATGGATGGAGACTGATATAACACCAAAATTACAAAATGATTCTAATTGGGGTTATTGAGTAATCTCAATGGAAGTCTTGAAAACACCTACATTAAAATTTGGAGTCAGATCGAATTTTTATTGTTTCCTCAAAAACTGAGCTAGATAAAAAAAACACACAAAGGATAATAAAGTTGTTATTTCAATAGTTCAATCTGATAAAAATATAAAACTCAGAAAAAACGGTGGTGTACAGTGACATTCACCATGAATATCAATAAATTTACCCACTGTGACGCCACTGGAAATATTATTCCGAATCTAATTGCACTAGATGAAGCCCCATAATATACTGTGATGATATTCCCCTTAGAGGGGCTTTAAAAACATCAGCAGGAAGGCAGGAGTACAACGATCATCCTGTATCACGCATCCCAGATTGCTCTCCAACCTCTCAATGATTCCTACATACACCAGCATATTTCCGAACACTCAATATATGCCGCAGTGACAAATAACGTCACAGAAGATTCTGGAATGTTCTGGAAACAATCGATAGAACAATTAGAGAGAGAGGTTTTGTTCTAAGAAGCTTCTATACCTTTTCAACTTCAATTTCGGAATCGGTAAGTTATATTTCGGAAAAAGTAATCTTTCAGAATTGGTTAGTTCGATTTCAGAAATGGTAAACTCAATTTCAGAATCGGTGAGATGAATTTCAGAAAAAGTCCATTCAATTTCAGAAATGGTAAGTTGTATTTCAGAATTGGTAGGTTCAATATCATAAAAAAAAATCCTTATATTTGTTCGAAATGTTTCCAATTGCATGTGAGATTAACAAACCATATTTAAAATATTCAACTTTTCAAAAACAATTTAATCCACAGATGCCTTCTATCTGAATCGCTGGAAGATATAGTGGCGTTGCACATGATTATAGGAATGCAAACACATTTGAGGTGTTATGTTCATTGAATGATCTGCACATTCTTCAAGACATAGCAGTCTGAATTCTATCTGGTTGAGCAATCTGTTCGGATCTCCAGCTATGACCCTTTGGCGATGCTCTTGCAAGAAGCTCTTCACTTCTGACTTGAAAGCACCCCATATATTATGTTCAATCTGATTCAACATAGGGCTCTCAAACACCGTTCAATCCACTGTAAACAGTCTTCTCTTTTGCAGTTAAAAACATTTCGAACATATAAAAGGATTTCATCTTCTGAAATTGAACCTACCAATAATAATTCTGAAATACAACTTACCATTCCTGAAATTGAATGGACTTTTTCTGAAATTCATCTCACCGATTCTGAAATTGAGTTTACCATTTCTGAAATCGAACTAACCAATTCTGAAATCGAGATTACTTTTTCCGAAATATAACTCACCGATTCCGAAATTGAAGTTGAAAAGGTATAGAACAAAAAGAAGGAGACGGAAGATCATTCGAGAACGTTCTCCAACCAAAGCCTGCCATGTGTTCTCATATATAAGACGGCCGAACAACTGAGTCAGGCAGTTAAGCAGCGAATGTCAGAGAGACAGTTATATATACCGCGTGATATAAATCGTTTTACATAAATAGTAGTTATAAGTTCGATTTAAATTAGTGTTTCTTTAGTTTAAATAAATCAGTTCGAAAATAAATAGTGTCGTGTTCGCTTCTGCACCCGAATAACGTAACAATACTTTCAACGAAACCACTACGTTTTATTGAAATTGATGGAAAGAAAATTGCGAAATGGATGGCAAAAAGATTTTTCATTGAAATATTATAATACCCTCTGTATCTCGAAAACAAAGCATAGGATACATGTTCATATGAAGTTAATTTCCTAAAATATATGACAAGGATAATCACCCCTTTTCCTTCTCCAATTATTATCAATGTTTTCATTGCTCTTCGAATAAACAAAATTTGTGCTGAACTCGTAATAACCGATGCTATAAAAATGCCCAATATTCATCTTATTTTCACTGCTAGAAACTAATTCTTCAAACACTTTCACATGAAGAAAGGTACTGTTAGAATGCCGTAAACCTTGGATCTTATAATTTCCAGAATTTCTGCACGCGAAATGCGTCATGAAGGTATAGTGACTTCTACGTTTCGCATGGATCTATTTCCTCTTGATTAATCCACGCTAATTCAGCGTGGATCAATCCTTCATGAATAATCAGAGTTAGGTATGTTATATCCACAATATCGAAATATTCGATATTTTCACTCAAAAAAATTTTGAGTCAAACGCCCTATATATTTGAATGAAGAATCGTTTTAGACCATATGTTCACAGGAGGAGATGATATAGAATTTCATCTAGTTCTATCTCGAATCCTGGATTGTTAATAATTGAAACTTGATCATATACAGGGTGATTAAAAATGCGATGTAAATATTTCAATGACCATTTTTGGTATCAAAATAATCAAAATGACAAGGATCGCGCATTGATAACAAATTGCGAGGGCACACATTTTTTCAGCAAAAACAACAACAATTTTTAGTACCTACTTCGCGCATTGTTATGTAAAATATATGAGATATTTATATTTCAACTTTATGGTCCTCAATCGAGCGAATATCCACGAAATCATTTATTTCTGTATGTTCAACAATAACTTTGTTTTATCTCTTGTAGCGCACGGAAGGAAATTCCTATTATGTTCGTGGAACTTCGTGCGTACCTATAGGGAGGATAGGGGGAGGCCTTTTGAGCCAGTTCAACACTATTTTTTTATATCAAGATGAGCATATTTTTACTTTAGAACTATATTTTTTGACGTTTGTAGAAAAAATGTTGTTTGCAACTCGAGCGCGAGATACTTTGGTCATCTCGACAATTTTTTTGACTCGGCATCACCAAAGTAGCATTTCGCGCTCTAGATACAAAAATAACTATTTCTTCATGTAAATAAAAAAATAAAGTAACTGAAAATATAGTGAACATAATAACGGATCTGGTGCAAGTATTCCAGTCTGCATGTCTCTGAAATAGAAGTTTCAAATGCGTTCAGACATACGATCGCCTCCGTATGCATATTGCAAACCTTTTAACCCATTGTGCTCGAAAACGATGTCGTGACTTCCACTTTCTTTGATTACGATTTTCTGGCAAACGGTTAGTTGTATCAAATAAATGCAAGAGGCAGAATTCTTTTTTTATGGCCGACAAGATCATGCTATTCAAAGTCAGAGTTTTTGTTTTCGAACATAAAATTTGGGCCAATGAAAATGTGGACCCCCTCCAACTCCCCAAAAACTGAATTTACATCATTTCTGAAGAAAGAAGGAAATGAAGTGTCTGAAAAGACAGGGGCATGCCAATTTTTTGGAGATTTGATCCGTTATTGTATTCACAATTTCAGATAATCTTTCTTTTTCAGCTAACTCATAGTATCTGTAGCTATCGGACGCGGTAATTTTAGGACACATATGGATAAAAAGAAAAAGTCCTATTTCAACATCAACAATTAAATATGTCCTTGAAATATTTACATCGAATTTTGAATCACCCTGTATAGATGATTAGAGTAATAATCATCACTCATCCAATTATGGTGCAATAATACAAGAAACAGGAAAAAACACACCTTATTTTTCAATCCATTTCCTTCAGATTTGAAAGTTGCCCACCAAGAATGCAGCCATAGACTATTTAATAATACTTCTGCTCATTGGCGGCGGAACAGTTTTTATTCGGTGGGAGGAGGGTTACAGTCATAGACTTCTTAACGTTAATTATATAAAAAATGCGAACATAATTTTTCTGCAGCACTCAACTATTAACATAGTAGGATCTACTGTGATATCATAAAAATGAATATCTTTATTATATACTAATAGATTTATCAGGTGAAGAAAATGTTATATGAGGTCAGAAAACAAGTCCTGAAAATTTGAAAATAACAAAAGTGAACAGAATATCCTAAATTATAATGACAGTTTTTTCCTTTTTTTATGCGAATATGTCCAAAATATTTGCTGGTCGATTTGTTTGGTTGAACTTTTTTCTATGTGGAGAATAGACAGTTGACTGAATCTCTCTTGTTATCTAATTTGGGGTGGGCTGAACAATATTTTGGGGTGAGCTCCAAGAGATAAAAAAACAAAGCGTTCTTTATAGCTCTTTCATTTTCGAGATATTCTAATCACAATTTGGAACACAGGTTACGTTTTAGGGTTCACATCATACAGTATACCAAGTGATTGTAAGAATTTACAGGGGGAATATATGTTTTTCAGGGGTCACGCACTTTTTCGCCCTACAAACTTTTTTGTGATGCGTCGCTGGTAGATTTTGAAATGCGAAATGAATGGTTTGCTTTGTATATAAACTTTCTCATCTCATGTAATTTCAACGCATCTGCGACCGTTATTGAGAAGAGAGAATAGAATAATTTTTTCTAATTCGCTAAATTTAGTGAAAATGTTCGACAAGAAAAGGTTTTTGTAGCGAGAAAGGGCATATTGACACCTGAAAAAAATATATCCTTGTAAATTCTAATGATAACTCAGCATACCGTATGAAGTGAACCCTAGAACGTAACTTATTATCATGATTATTAATATTATTATTATGATTGAACTTTCACGCACTATAGATCGGTAACGACCCAGCAAGCACAAAATCATCTCAGAGATGCTATAAGTATCAGATGTCGAGACATGACACGTTCACTGCGATGTCCTGTACACACATGAATAGAGCTGTCATAGAACAGCCAATGTCCGCCGCAGGTGGCGTTTATGAAGATATCCTTGGGATGTCACAAAAATACATTATTCCTGTTTTTTCATAGCTTTTTCATGGACACATCATAAACCTTTCCAATGCGTTTTGCGCACATTTAATCGCTGCAAATAAACCGTTCATGGTAGGTATATTATAAAGAAAAAGAAGAAAATTAGAACAGTTTCTTCCTGCTGGAGAATCTAACCTACTCTCTTGTGATTGTTATTTAGAACTCATTTCAGGGCAAAGAATATTCACTCTGGATTTGATGATATATTAAACATATTTTGGGGGATTGTAGGCATGTTTGAAATTTATAAACCTATGAAGATATTCATGTGGGTAGTGTACCAATAAGATGAGTAGGAGTGTTCACTGTTATAAAGCAGAACAATGCAAAATATAAGAATTATCTATTTATTGACTAGGAAGATATTTGGAGATGAATTGTTTTATATCAAGGAGTTCATCATCAGACGAAGTGTGCATTAGTCCCCTAAATGACTTGAATTCAACATCTTGCAACATTGTTTTCAGAATAGAAGCTGTCATCTGTCCCCATTTGTAGGGAACAACAGGATCACAGTCACCGTGGCACTGCAAAATCTGAAAAAAAAAGAGAGTTATCCATTACTGCAAACTGAAAAACAAGACTTTACTAGTCATTGATTAGTTGCTTGATTGGGAGAGGGATTATACGTTGACTGTGGATGGGTGCCATCCAGCAATTCCAAATAACCTGCGTTTGATAGACCCTTCGATCTTTATAACCGAGATACTGTGTATGATTTCTCAACTTAGCCTATTTTTTTGACACATAACTCACGAATCACCTAATTTTTGTTTAAATTGACATGCCAGAAAAAAGCTGGCTCTGATAAGGTTAAACATGATTTAAAAAAAAGAAAAATTATTTTAAATTACATTATGTGTACCAAAAGGAACAACAGCGATATTGATATAAACACAAAATTGACATAGACAGACATTGACAGTTCGACAATGAAATTTTCACGTATCGCATCGCCATGATTGTGAATCATTTCAATATGTGTGGACCTCTTGTACACTTTGGTAAAATGTTCTCATCTTTCCTTCTCAGGATTTATTATTATCATCTAATTTTTACAGGTACTCATGTATTTTCGGATGATGGTCATAGTGGCGAAACCAGTTACATGTTGTTTCACGTTTCATGTGTGGTCGACTGACTTTGTGTTTCGTTTGTTTTCTTATGTGTAGGTATATCCTTTCTTATGTGTAGGTATATCCGATCATCTGAGGCAGAAACATGGGTCGTGGGATAGAATATTGCTTCATTATTCGTTAGGTACGCCGTTCGATTCAATTTGGAGTATAATTTCTTCTCATTAGAGCATTCTAATAAAAGCTTGTTCTCGAACATGTGTTTTTAAAATGAATTTATCTGTTAACCAGACAATAATTAAAAAACTTACAGGGCGATCAATTGGGGCATTTTTTCCTAGTCCGTTTTTGTTTGCCGGTGTGTGCAGGGGTCATCCTGTATATTTGAACAGCTTACACAGGGTTCATCATTGGCTTATACAGGGTTCATCATTGAAGACAAAAAAACTCCAAATACAAAAGTTGTAGGGTTTGTTCTGAACCTCCAGAAAATTTTAAGAGGTGAAACAAATGAATATCGCTGATATAAGAAATGGGTACCAACTTCGCTATTTTCAATGCAACACCTTATATATATATTTTTCGATAAAATTGAACATCTTTTTTTTTTCTGATTTTAGAAATATATAGGTTGTCGATATTCGGTTCAGCCGTTTATGAATTCACAGTAGTTTTATTTCTTCTAATCACCATCACTTCTTCAATGGAGTTCATGAGAAATATATTTGTTTGAGGTTCAAAATACATCGTTTGAAGAAAAATACATCATATTCATCATTTTTCAATTCTCTTGAGTTGTGTTTTGAAACAGTGGGATTTATAGCCAATCAGATGAATTTAGTGAATCTATATTAACTTTTTATGTGAAAGGCATCTTCATCTTATCAAATTGATATGATAAAAAATATGTCTTACTGGTAGACTATCATGTGTCTTCTTAACTGCAGGGAATGTTTTGTACAAGGGTAACCAACAAGACAGAGCTACAACACCAGCAAGTTTTTGTGGATAAGTCAGAGCCGAATAAAGGGCAAGGGCTCCTCCTTGTGAAAAACCTCCTAGCAAAATCCGATCTGGAGAAATGCCGGCTGATATCTCGTTATCCACCATTCCATGAATTTGTTTTGTAGCAGATTTTATACCTGCAAATAAACGAAAAAATATAATACATACCGGGTGTTCAGAGTTGAGTTGAGTTTGTATCCCCCTGATTTTTCGAATTCAGAAGTTTTGTCTTTATAATTTTCGATAATCCTTCCCAACGTGTTATTTGTTCTATATGCTACTTTTGAGTCCTGGTAATGTAGAAATGAAGCTAATTTTTCAGTTGATGATCCGAAATAGGTTGAAGTTCTATAATCTATATCTATAATCTATAATAACAACTGATACAACGATAATTTGATGGACAGTATTATTTCTAAAAAACGTCATAATAAAGCTATTCAAGAAGTATATTCTACCATCAAGAATAATACCAGAAATTGTGATATATTACCCAATGATCAACTAGACCTCAATAATTCACGGCTGTTGAATTTGTTTTCTTAGTAAGTAAGAGTATGTATTTGTACTATCAACCCTTTCAAGTTAATCCAGTATATCGTATTTCAATGTAGATATTGTGCCTATTTTCCGAAAATCAAGTTTTATCGAACCTATCCACAGGTAATCTAATCCTTCAGGTTGGAAAAGCAGGACATAAAAGTTAGGCGAACCAATGTCAGTTTAGTTTATTGCACCAGTATTTTCCCTGAAGAAGCTACTGTGTTAGCCAAACATGTCGTGTGACTTAGATTTTTGTAGAAATCTTATCGTTTGTGAAGTTTTTCACATAGGGTACATATATCACGGCATATAGACGAAGAAAGGTCGCTCTTGATCTATACGAAACAACTACAGCTAACCAATTATTACAGTATTACCTTTGAGTATTCACACCAGTGTATATAATCAAGGGTAATACGGATAATTTTATTCTGACTACACTTTTAATGGTTACCATAATTTCTGAACAACGCATGAGGTGTCGAATTTTCAGAAATTTTCAGAAGTTGAATTTCTTGGTTCTTATGTACATACCCTGCTCATCTTCAGGTCCGGATTCATCCAGAGATCTCAAGTCGAACCAACTTGGCATTCGGAATCCAGCATTCAAAGTAACCGGCATAGTAGGAGCAGTAGGACAGATTACTTTCACATGAGGAGGTCTAAGGGCGGCCATAGCACTAGCCCACCCCTGTCTGAAATGGAAATACAAAATTCAATTACAGCCCATTCCAACTAAGAAGACTGCGTAAGAAACCATATACCCCAGTAATAATAGGCCAATTTCCGACCAAACCCGGACATTGATAATTACTAAACGGGACCTTTTTCAGTTTGTTTAAACAGCTTCAAGTAACACCCTCAAGAAAGTCCCACGACCTTCTAAGTGGGATAGCGAAAATATGAAGGAAAAACTGGATGAATTATGCTCAAAATCGACAATTTTGATATTATCTCCTCATTGGTGGATCCAAGCTCAATAATACCTATTATCAATTTTATAGGAAACTGAATTCTCTACAAGTTTCATAAAAAACAGTTTGTCATACGACCAATATTGAAAGAGCTGCAGCGCTTTGAAATGGGGCAATTATCTAAAATACCATAATTGTTCGGTTGAGAATGACATTTTGCATGAATATTATTTCATTAATCAAATATTGATCAATAGCATAGAATATTCCTTCTGTTATGAATTTGGACTGATTAATAACGATCTTATGTGTTCGCACCAGTTATGCCAATCCTCGGATTTCTGAAGTTTGCCAGGAAATCAAAAATATTGAAGATAGGACTTATACACAATAATATTTTGATATAATAGTAAATAACAGCTGACAAAGTAATCGAAATCTCAGTAGAATTAGGATACGACCCGGACATTAATAATTACCGGGACCTTCATTTGGTATGTTCGCACAACCGCTATATGCTATTCTGAGCAACAGGATGAAACTGTTGTTATTGGACAAGACACAGACCTTGCGGTTCTACTTACTGCTCTGTCTCCACCTCAGGTTGATATCAAATTCCTGATACCTGGTTTCAATGGTAAACCAGCTATGTTATATAGCAGCAAGGAATGTCAGGAGTTCTTAGGACCAATGAAATAATTAATACTCTTTCTACACGCTGCTACGGTGTGTGATACAACTAGTGCTATATTTAATATTGGTAAATTGAAGCCGTTCAGGCGCTTGCAACAAGATGAGGCACTACGTCTGCGAGTTGGAGTGTTCAACTCACCAAACGTCACACCAGACGACATTGCCACTGCTGGAGAGATGTTCATTATGTCTCTGTATCCAGGGAAAACCTCGGATGATCTTAAAAAGAGAAGGTTCCAGATGTATGTGAAAATCAATTCTTGGCTCCCTGCCAACAAGAAATTTGATCTGGCCCAGCTGCCTCCCACATAATCGTCAAGTAGAGAGCACTCATTACGAGTCTATCTTCAGGTTAGTTCCATTCAAAAAGTCGGTTCATTCAGTATATTTTTTGAACATATTCACTGCACATAGATTGTACTTGCAGGTCCAGGAATGGTTAGGAAATCCTCTACTGCCCACTGATTGGGGATTCGAGAAGGACGAAGAGGGTCACTTACGCCCAGTGACCAACCGAAGTAAGCCGGCTCCAGACCGCCTTTTCGAAATGGTATCTTGTAACTGCACACAAGGGTGTGAATCCAAGAAATGTTCGTGCAGAAGGCACAAGATGGTGTGTTCGAACATCTGCAGGTACTGCGCGGGGCATGGATGTAGTAATACGTTAAGAGAAGAGGACGAGGACAACGTCGACCATGCGGACAAAGACCTCGAGCCGATCCCGTGTACTGGTATGCCACCGAACATCCAAAATTGCTTCTCTTTCCTCTATTTGAGGATGTGTTATTGTTTTATTTATAATAATTTTGTTTCAGAAACTGATGTGGAATTCAGCCTCGCTTGAAGACTCTAGCTCGCGAAGTAATAAAAACTATTTGTATTACTATTTACAATTAGATGAAACCATTATCCTTATTATTCACTCGATTGCAATAAAAAAATCATATGAAATGTGAAGAAATAGCTTTATTAATAACGATTTTAGGCAATGCTCCAGGAATTTCCTTGAAAATCCGGTTTTTCCAGGATATCTTGGCTATCTCACTGAAGAGGTCGTAGGACTCTCTCAAGCGTCATCCCGTAAGGCATCCGAACATATTGAGAGAAAGTCCGTGTGTAGTAATAATTATCAATATCCGAGTCAAAACCTAATTTTTACTGAGATTTCGATTACTTTGTCAGCAGCTATTATTATTACTACTGTATCAAAATATCATTGATTGCCAGGTGAAATTCAGAAATCCGAGGAATCACGTAACTGGTGCGAACAAATGAAATCGTTATTGATGATCCCAAATTCATAACAGAAGGAATATTCTGTGCTTTCGATCAGTTTTTCATGAATGAAAAAATATTCATGCAAAATGTCATTCACAACCGAACGATTATGGTATTTTCGATAATTGCCCTATTTCAAAGCGCTGCAGCTCTTTCAATATTGGTCGTATGAAAAATTGTTTTTCATGAAACTTGTAGAAAATTTAGTTTCCTATAAAATTGATAATGGGTATAATTGAGCTTGGATCCACCAATGAGGAGATAATATTAAAATTGTTGATTTTGAGCATAATTCATCTAGTTTTTCCTTCATATTTTAGCTATCCCACTTAGAACGTCGTGGGACTTTCTTGAGGGTGTTTCTTAAAGGGTGTTTTAACGAACTGAAAAAGGTCCCGTTTAGTAATTATCAATGTCGGGTCTAAACCTAAATTGACTGGGGTAATAAGGAAGCTTTGACCTTTGCTCTGATTGATCCATATCGGGGGCAATATTACACCTGCCTAATATTGTGACGTTAACGTTAACGTTTTCATTATGAGAAGATGATAACATAATCGCATTTCAATTATTTTTAGTTTTTTTTAAACCCTGAGAATGAACTCCAACTCAATGTGAAATTCAATGAATGATTTTGAGTTAGGCGCCATATACTTGTTTCGCCAGTGTAAACATTCCTTCAGAGATAGCGCCACCAACTATTTTCTTATTTAGAATGCTGTATAAGGGGAACATGTAATACCAACGCCTTTCTCCCGAGATAGGGAATAGTGCTTGACTGAATTTGAAAACCATCATCCTTGAGTTATTTGTTAACTATTATGATTTAAAAGTTCACACGAAAACATAGATTGTTCATAGGGAAATTCTGTCACTATCAGTTATTAGCATATCGAAGGATAACGAAACGGAGTTTGAATACAAGTTCAAAATTCACATCTTAAGGAAGATTTCACTTTCTTACCAATAAAAAATGGGAAAATGTTTGGTCCCGAAAGAACTCTATTTTACCATATTATACACTGTCTATAAAGTGAAAAATTCTAAACGTCTTACAATTCTCTTTATAACACCAGAATTGCCAGACAAAAATTTTCATCCAAAATGATAGGTGGATGATAATGTCTATCGACTAAATAATTCGTACCACAGATTACTTACCTCATATTGAGGTGAAAAGTTTCTGTAACGTAGTACTATTCACATATTCCCTGAGATACAGGGTGCAACAGTAAGAAAAAAATTAGGTTTATATATTAATTTCATCGGAACTTCCACATTCCACATACCTAAATGTCTTGAGGTAATATCAAGTAAAGACCCAATTTGCTGCGTACCATAATCGCATAATGCTGATCTTTTACACATATCATAAAATAAACAACCTCCTGAACATTTCCGAATATTGGGAAAATTGAAAACACGGAAGGGTGAGTCAGAATAATTCATATTGAGGCATTAGCCTAAGAGCCGGCTAAATGAGTTTCATTATTTCGAAACTATCACTTCTCAAAACTACTCATATTTAAGTAAATGTACAAACTTCAGAAACGATAAGATTTCCGCAAATTTGAGAAAATCTTATCGTTTCTGTAGTTTTTACATTTGCTATGGATTTCCATCAAGTAACAGCCGAGTCAATTAAAAAAAAAACTACTCATAAGGTTTGGCAGCTCTGAATACACTATGTTTGTGAAGCTTACCTTCCCAAGAGAGCTCCACTGTAGTAGCAATTACTCTATGTTTACTACTGTTCTACGATGTTGTCGCTACTTTATCCATCACCTGATAATTCAGTCAATTCTTGTTAAAAATACACTGTGCCCGTCTAAAGTCCGTTCCCCCCTAGTAATTTTTGAATTACTTGGTATATCGCAACAAAATTTGTAGAGCTCAAATAGGAGACGAAAACCTACTTTTTCATAAAAAAACGACAGCTCAAAGTTTTGAAACGGCGACTAAGCGCCTTCTTCAATTATTTTTTCAAATAGAACACCCCGTGTTGCATTTTCGAAATCTTCTCATAATTTTTAGCAGCTTTATCCTATACACTTTACTCCTGAATTCAATAGTTTTCGAAACATTAACGTTTGAAAAGTGACATTTTGATCATTTAGAACCCAACCAAAAACTCGAATGTTGCTTTCAATCAAGTTCACTTTGAAAAAAATTGGAAAAAATCGATGTCGCGGTCTCGATTTTTAATTTATTTGAAAGCACCATTCGAGTTTTTGGTTGGGTTTTGAATGACCAGAATGCTTCTTCAACTGTATCGGAACAATCCAAATAGTCATCAATGTAATGTTTCTCCTTTATCGCCTCCAGAATATCTGCTCTTGTCGTTTGCTGTTCGACATTCAGATTTTTTATTTACTGTGCTGATGCCGGCGAACAGGTTGCCCCAAAAATCATCACCTGAATTTCGATTTCGAAAGATGCATCAGTATGTCCTTCTCGCCATAAGAATCTTTGTGAATGACCACTTGATGGAACCTTTCTCTCACGTCGCCACAAAAATTTATCTTTCGCTGTCTGCATTTGATGAGAATATCTACTAGATTGGAATAGGTCCGGTCCTGGGAGTACGTTGCCGTTTAAACTGGTACCATTTGACCTCTAGCTGGCTCATCCAAATTGGCATCTGCATCCGACAGCTTCTTGGCATATCCCTCATCCAGAAAACCAAGAATTTTCTGGCAATAATGATTTTTGAAATAATCGTCTCTCAACATTTGTTTCTCTACACAGTACAAACATTTTATTGTCATCGACTTACTTTCAAGTAGAACTATTTAATCAGATTTCCAGAA